TCGAATAGATTATAGCAAAATTGAAAAAAAAAATTGTGAAAATAAAAAAATTTAGATCTTGGAAAATTATAAGTGAAAAATAAAAAATTGAAAAACTGAAGAATTAAAAATCGAGAAATTGTAAGATGTAAATTCGAAAAATTATAAGATTTAAAAATGGGGAAAAACAAAAATTCGGATAATTGTAAAATGAAGAAATTGCAAAATTATAAAACTAAAAAATGAAAAAATGGTAGACGGAATAGCTGAAAATAAAAAAAAAAACCTCTAAAATCGAAAATTGGTAAAATTGTAACAGTGAACAACCCAGAAATTAAAACCAAGTATTGCAAAACAAAAAAACGAAAAAACGAGTACATAAATATAAAACGGAAAAATTGTAAAATTAAAAAATCAAAAAATTCGAATTCGAAACACGAAAATCCGAGAAATTTAAAATTCTATAAGTGAAAAATCGAATAATTAACAAAGTATAAAATTTTAAAATCGGAAAATCAAATACTTGAAAAATTGAAAAATTTAATAACCTAAAAATACAAAAATTGCTAAATTCCACAATTGACAAATCAAAAAATTCAGAAATTAAGGAAAAAGAAATATCAAAAATTAACTGAAAATAGAAAAATTTAAGAAATAAAAATTGAGAAACTGAAAAGTTGTAAAAACGAAAAATTCAAATTGAGAAATTGTCTAATAAAATTTAAGGCATAGAAACATTGAAAATCAGATCATTTACAAATTGAAAATTTGCACCATTGTATAATTGAAAAATCAAAAACTTGAAAAACTGGACAGCTGAAAACTAACAATATTGAAAAATTAAAAATGGAAAAACTGAAATGTTGGAAAATGAGAACTTGTAATTAGAATAATCGAAAAATTATACTATTGTATAAAATTTTTAAAAATTAAAAATCGAAACTTTGAAAAATTTCTAAAAATTTAAAATTGTGTAATTTTAAAGTCGAGAAATTACAAAAGTGTTAAAATTGAAAAATCGTCAAATTGAAAATCTAAAATATAAAAAAAAGAAATCGTCGAAAATTGTAAAAGTGAAAATGGAAAAATTGACAAATCGATAAATGAAAAAAATTAAAGAAACGAAAAATCGCGTTATTGAAAAATGAAAAACTGAAACTCAAAAAATCCAAAAATCCCTAAATTTAAAATTGAATATTTAAAAAAAAAAATTGAAAATCGAGTAAAAATGGAAACATTTAAAATTTGAACAACGAGAAACGAAAAGGATTAATGGAAAAAGAATATTTGAAAAATTGGGTAAGTGGAAAATCAAAAATTGAACCGTCGAAATATTATAGGATTAGGTATCACAAATTGAGAAATTGAAAAATTAAAAGTTGGGTAATTTATAAATCGAAAAATTGCAAAATTTAGAACTGAAAACGAGAAATTCAAAAATCGAATAAATGTGAAATCGAAAAATTGAAAAATTAAAAAAAATGAGAACTCTAAAATCGAAAACTGAAAAATCTCAACATTGTAAAATTGTTACATTGGAAAATGAAGAAATTATAAAGCAGACACTGAAAAATAAAAAATTTAAAATTGACTAGATTATAGCAAAATTGAAAAAAAATTGTGAAAATAAAAAATTGAAAAAAAGAAGAATTAAAAATCGAGAAATTGTAAGATATAAATTCGAAAAATTATAAGATTTAAAAATGGGGAAAAACAAAATTTCGGACAATTATAAAAGGAAGAAATTACAAAATTATAAAACTGAAAAATCGAAAAATGGTAAACGGAATAGCTGAAAATAAAAAAAACTTCTAAAATCGAAAATTTCTAAAATTGTAACAGTGAACAACCCAAAAATTAAAAACAGATATTGCAAAAACAAAAAAACGAAAAATCGTGTACATAAATGTAAAACGGAAAAATTGTAAAATAAAAAATCAAAAAATTCGAATTCGAAACACGAAAATCCGAAAAATTTAAAATTATATAAGTGAGAAATCCGAACAACAAAGTAAAAAATTTTAAAATCGGAAAACCAAATAATCGAAAAATTTAAAAATTTAATAACCTAAAAATACAAAAATTGCTAAGTTACACAACTGAAAAATAAAAAAATTCAGTAATTAAGGGAAAAAAAAAATCAAAAATTAACTGAAAATAGAAAAATTTAAGAAATAAAAATTGAGAAACTGAAAAAGTTGTAAAAACTAATTCAAATTGAGAAATTGCCTAATCAAAAATTAAGACATGGAAACATTCAAAATCAGATCACTGTATAATTGAAAAATCAAAAACTTGAAAAACTGGACAGCTGAAAAAAAAATCTAAAAATTAAAAACTGTGTAATTTTAAAGTCGAGAAATTACAAAAGTGTTAAAATAGAAAAATCGTAAAATTGAAAATCTAGAATTCCAAAAAAAAAGAGAAATCATCGAACAACTGAAAAATGGAACAATTGACCAATTTTTTAATGTAAGAATTAAAAAAACGAAAAATGGAATTATTGAAAAATGAAAAACTCAAAAAAATCCAAAAATCGCTAATTTAAAACTGAATATTAAAAAAAAAATTGAAAATTGACTAAAAATGGAAAAAATTAAAATTTAAACAACGAGAAACGACAACTCTTAATGGAAGAAGAATATTTGAAAAGTTGGGTAATTAGAAAATTAAAAATTGAACCAAATAATTGAAAAATTGAAAAATCTAAAAACACAAAAATTGCTAAATTACACAATTGAAAAATCAAATAATTCCGTAATTAAAGAAAAAGAAAAATCAAAAATTAATCGAAAATATAAAAATTTAAGAAATAAAATTTGAGAAACTGAAAAGTTGTAAAAACGAAAAATTCAAATTGAGAAATTGCTTAATCAAAAATTAAGACATTGAAAATTTGCGTCATTGTATAATTGAAAAATCAAAAACTTGAAAAACTGGACAGCTGAAAACTAATAATATTGAATAATTAAAAATGGAAAAACTGAAAAATTGAAAAATGAGAATTTGTTAATTAGAAAAATCGAAAAATTATACAATTATATACAATTTTTAAAAATTAAAAAATGTCTAAAAATTAAAAACTGTGTAATTTTAAATTCGAGAACTTACAAAAGTGTTAAAATTGAAAAATCGTAAAATTAGAAATCTACAATTCCAAAAAAAAATCATCGAAAAATTGAAAAATACAAAAATTGACCAATCTATAAATAAATGTAGGAATTAAAAAAAGAAAAAATCGAATTATTGAAAAATGAAAAACTCAAAAAATTCAAAAATCGCTAAATTTAAAACTGAATATTTAAAAAAGAAAAATTGAAAATCTACAAAAAATGGAAAAATTTAAAATTTAAACAACGAGAAACGACCACTCTTAATGGAAGAAGAATATTTGAAAAATTGGGTAATTGGAAAATCAAAAATTGAACCATCAAAATATTATAGAATTAGGTATCAGAAATTGAGAAATTGAAAAATTAAAGGTTGGGTAATTTATAAATCGAAAAATTGCTAAATTCTACAAATGAAAACGAGAAATTAAAAAATCGGATAAATGTGAAATAGAAAAATTGAAAAATTAAAAAAAACTGAGAACTCTAAAATCGAAAACTGAAAAATTTCAACATTGTAAAATTGTTACATTGGAAAATGGAGAAATTATAAAGCAGACACTGAAAAATAAAAAAATTAAAATCGAATAGATTATAGCAAAATTGAAAAATTAAAAATCGAGAAATTGTAGGATGTAAATTCGAAAAATTATAAGAACGAGAAACGACAACGATTATGGAATAAGAATATTTGAAAAATTGGGAATTTGGAAAATCAAAAATTGAAGCATCAAAATATTATAGAATTAGGTGTCAGAAATTGAGAAATTGAAAAATTAAAAGTTGGTTAATTTATAAATTGAAAAATTGCAAAATTCTAGAACTGAAAACGAGAAATTCAAAATTCGGATAAATGTTAAATCGAAAAATTGCAAAAATAAAAAAAAAATGAAAATCATCAAATCCTCAGAAAAATAAGTCTCAGAACACCATAATTGGAACATCATAGACCTCAAATCCTCAGAAAACCATAATCCTCAAAAACCTATTTAGAACACCATTATCCTCAAATCCTCAGAAAACCATAATTCTCAAATCCTCAAATCGTCAGAACACCTTATTTCTCAAAGCCTCAGAAAACCATAATCCTCAAGTCCTCAAAACAACACAATCCTCAAATTTTCAGAACACCACAATCCTCAGATCCTCAGAACAACATAATCGTCAAATCACCAGAACACCATAATTGGAACATCACAGTCCTCAAATCCTCAAAACACCATTATCCTCACATATTTGAAACACCATTATCCTCGAATCCTCAGAAAACCATAATCCTCAAATCCTCAAAACACCATAATCCTCAAATCCTCAGAACAGCATATTCCTCAAATCCTCAGAAAACCACAATCCTCAAATCCTTTAAACACCATAATTCTCAAATTTTCAGAACACCATAACCCTTAAAACACCATAATCCTCAAATCCTTCGAAGACCATAATAAAAAATTGAAAAATTTATGAATCGAAAAATTACCAAATCGTAAAACTGAAAAACGGAAAAATTGAAAGTCTAAAAAATGTAGAAACAAAAAAATTATAAAATCGAGAAATTGAAAAGTTGAGAGACGAAGAGTTGAGAAATTGACAAATGTAAAAAGCGAATAATTGAAAAATCAAAATTGCAGTCATTAAAAATGAAGAAATTTAAAAATTGAAAATCGATTTAACGATACATTAAAAAATTGCGAAATTGTGTAATTGTAATTGTAAATTCCAAGACTGCATACTTAAGAAATTGAAAAAGAATAATTGAAAAATCAGAAAAATCGAAAAACTGAGAAAACGTAAAAGTCAAAAATTTAGCATTTGCATAACTGTAATATCGAAAAATTGAAACATTATTAAAAAAAATACCTCTTTGGACTTATCGCATTAGCAACAATTAATCTTCACCCTTTTGGTTTTCAGCAGAGCAACCTCCGTCGTGCCAGCCGGCCTTCTCCAGATGGTCGACCTGCAGCAGCGAGTGCGGCGCCGGACTCTCTTCTCGAAGGTCCAACCTAAACGCTAGATGCCAGCCGGACACGGAAATCAGGATATGCCAGACCCGGAGGTGCCAGGAGACGGCGCCCCCCATCCACCACAAGAAGCAGCACCACCTCAGGGTAACACCGCCGAAAACAGGCCTTGATTAAGCCCGCTGACGGTCCCATTCCTCCGTTTTGATTCCTCCGCGGCGTCCGCTTTAATTCCACCGCAATTTGTAACTCTTTAATCGCACTGCCCCAACTTATCTCCTCTTAATACACTCTGTACGTTCCCCTCCGGCGCCATCCATCACCCGATAAAATATCCGCGATTACTCCGCAACAAGCGCAAATTAGATCCGAGGAATTTTTCCGGCTCCTCCCGGCGCAATTTGTATCTGGCGGCCCACCCATTAATTACGAAAATCGCGCCACACACTGTACACATTAGTCAACATGAAGGAGTTTCGCGTACACCTCAAGGGAAAGCCACTAAAAACTGCGGAAGCCATGAATAATTAAGCGATAAATCATCCAAGGAAGCGGTAAAACTCGCACAAGACCACATCAAGTGCTTATTTAGGGCGGCCCAGGAGTTATTCTAACAAGTGACGTTATGGAGTAAACTAAGCTCGGAGATAATACCCGAGGAATGAGACGGAAAAGCGGGACGCGCCAGCTTATTAACTTACGCGAGAAAAAAGTGCCGCCTTGCGCGACGGATTGCACGAAAAAACGGGCTAAACTGTTTAAGTTCGGCTTTGACGTCTTTAAGGAGTGGATTTAATTTAAATTCTCACCCGCTGAAGCGATGGAGTTAGTTTTTAATTAGAGGGCGACGGTTTATTGCTTTGGGTGGATAAGGACGTCATAGCAAAACGCATCTGTGTGAGGTGTTCGACATCCCGCTTGCTGGTGAATGCGCCAAGGTCATCGAAAAAGGTTATGAGTGCAAAAAATGTATTATCAACGGGAATACATTACATCGGAAGAATGTCACGTAGACATTTGTTTGATTTGAATGAGTTTATCGCCCCAAGACAGATGACGAAAATTTTTCATTGAACAAAATATTCTGAATATTATTATTATGATTCTTACCTTATCATTATTTTATTGTTATAAAGACTCAGTCATTAATTTTTTTCACACACCCCGTATAAGCAAATCTAAACAATATTTATGCAGTGATAAATCACAATTATAGACTCATCATACTTTGCACAATGCACATTTAAGATAGCATTTTTTCGGAAAAATTTTGGGGCGGCGTGATCAATTTTTTACGGGGGATGAGCAAATATGTTTTTTGAAATTTTTTGTACCCCTTTTCTTCATCTTTTTTGTCGCGTTTTTTGTTATCTTTTCGCCTTTTGTCGATTTTCATAGTTTTTTGGTTGCTTATTGTTGTTTTTTCATCTTTGATGCATTTTTGAGGCCCTCTTTCGTCGTTCTTTTTGTCGTCTTTTTTGCTGTTTATATTTTGAGTTTTTGTTGTCTTTTCGTAACTTCTGTCCTATTTTTTCGTGACTTTTTTAAATGCTTTTCTTTGCGTTTTTTTATCTAATTTTTTGTTACTTTTTCACCTTTTTGTTGCCTTTTGTGTTCACTTTTTTGTCGCTTTTTTTCTTTTGTTTATGTTGCTCTTTTGTGGCCGTCGTTTTACCGCATTTTCTTCACAATTTTTTAATCGCTTTTTTGGTTGCTTTCTTTTCTATTTGCCTATTTTCATTTTTATATTGTCGTCTTTTTTTGTTATATTGTAGCTGTTTTGTGACCTTGTTGTCTATCTTTTCGCTTTTTCAAGCTTCATTTGTCGCCTAACTTGGTGATTATTTTTTGTTGTTTTTTTTGTAGTTTTTTTCTCATCTTTTTTAATATCGTCTTTTTTTAGTGCCTTTTTGTAATTTTTCTTGTCGGTTTTTTCCTTACTTTTATTGTCGTTTGCTTTTTCTCACTTTTAAATTTCCTTTGGTTCTTTTTTCGTTCTTTTTGTCATTTTTTTGTTTGGTTTTTTCGCCTCTTTACGCCTTTCTTTTGTTGCTTCCATTGTGAACCTTCTTTTTATAGCATTTTTTGTCGTCTCTTTTGTCGCCTTTTCTATATGTCATTCTTTCGTTACTTTTCGTCTGTCATCTTGACTTTTCCTGTTGCATTTTTTGGGCCTTCTTTCTGTAACTTTTCTTGTCCCTTTTCCACCTTTGTTAAAAACTTTCTTTGTCATCTTCTTCTTCGTCTTTTTTTGGTCGCTTTTGTCATCTTTTTGTCGTTTTTTCGTCGCATCTGTTTCCACCTTTCTTTTGTTACCTTGTTTTTATCGTCTTTTTTGTAATCTTTTTTTTTCGTTTTTATTGTCTTTTAATTGTATTTTTGTGACCTATTTTTTGCCTATTGCCATTTTTTATTGCTTTTTTGGTCGCTTTTATCGTCTTTTTTTCACCTTTCCTTTGTCGCATTTTTTGTTATCTCTTTTGCCGCCTTTTTTTATGTCATTATTTAGTTACCTTTTGTCTGTCAATTTGACTTTTTTTTGTACTTTTTTCACGCCATTATTTCGTCTTTTTTTTTGTTGCATTTTTGGTTCTTCTTTACCTCTTTTCGCCTTTTTAAAACTTCTTTTGTTGCCTTCTTCTTGTCGTACTTTTTTGTCGCTCTTTTTATAGTCTGTTTCTTTTTTTCGCTTTTTATTGTTTTTTAATCGTGTGTTTTGTGACCCATTTTTTTGCCTATTTCCATTTTTTGTCGCTTATTTTGTCTTTTTTTCAATTTATTTACAACACATTACATCGGAAGAACGTCACGTAGACATTTGTTTGATTTAAATGAGTTTATCGCCCCAAAACAGATGACTAAAATTATTCATTGAACAAAATATTCTGAATATTATTATTATAATTCTTACCTTATCTTTATTTCATTGTTATAAAGACTCAGTCATTAATTTTTTTTAACACACCCCGTATAAGCAAATCTAAACAATATTTATGCAGTGATAAATCACAATTATAGACTCATCATACTTTGCACAATGCACATTTAAGATAGCATTTTTTCGGTAAAATTTTGGGGTGGCGTGATCAATTTTTTAGGGGGGATGAGCACATATATTTTTTTAATTTTTTGTACTCCTTTTGTTCATCATTTTTGTCGCGTTTTTTTTGTTATCTTTTCGCCTTTTGTCGATTTTCAATAATTTTTTGGTCGCTTATTGTTGTTTTTTCATCTTTGATGCATTTTTGTGGCCCTCTTTGGTCGTTCTTTTTGTCGTCTTTTTTGCTGTCTATATTTTGAGTTTTTGTTGTTTTTTCGTAACTTCTGTCCTATTTTTTCGTGACTTTTTTAAATGCTTTCCTTTGCGTTTTTTTTTATCCAATTTTTTTTGTTACTTTTTCACCTTTTTGTTGCCTTTTGTGTTCACTTTTTTGTCGCTTTTTTTTCACTTTTATGTTTAGTCGCTTTTTTGGTTGCTTTCTTTTCTATTTGCCTATTTTCATTTTTATTTTGTCGTTTTTTTTTTTGTTATATTGTAGCTTTTTTGTGACCTAGTTGTCTATTTTTTCGCTTTTTCAAGCTTCATTTGTCGCCTAACTTGGTGACTATTTTTTGTTGTTTTTTTTTGTAGCTTTTTTCTCATCTTTTTTATTATCGTCTTTTTTTTAGTGCCTTTTTTTGCAATTTTTTCTTGTCGGTTTTTTTCGTTACTTTTGTTGTCGTTTACTTTTTCTCACTTTTAAATTTCCTTTGGTTTTTTTTTCGTTCTTTCTGTCATTTTTTTGTTTGCTTTTTTCGCCTCTTTACGCCTTTCTTTTGTTGCTTTCATTGTGAACCTTCTTTTTATAGCATTTTTTGTCGTCTCTTTTGTCGCCTTTTCTATATGCCATTCTTTCGTTACTTTTCGTCTGTCATCTTGACTTTTTCTGTTGCATTTTTTGGGCCTTCTTTCTGTAACTTTTCTTGTCCCTTTTCCACCTTTGTTAAAAACTTTCTTTGTCATCTTCTTCTTCGTCTTTTTTTGGTCGCTTTTGTCATCTTTTTGTCGTTTTTTCGTCGCATCTGTTTCCACCTTTCTTTTGTTACCTTGTTTTTATCGTCTTTTTTGTAATCTTTTTTTTTTCGTTTTTTATTGTCTTTTATTTGTATTTTTGTGACCTATTTTTTGCCTATTGCCATTTTTTATTGCTTTTTTGGTCTCTTTTATCGTCTTTTTTTCACCTTTCCTTTGTCGCATTTTTTGTTATCTCTTTTGCCGCTTTTTCTCTATGTCATTATTTAGTTACCTTTTGTACTTTGATTTTTTTTTGGTACATTTTTCACGCCATTATTTCGTCTTTTTTTTGTTGCATTTTTTGGTTCTTCTTTACCTCTTTTCGCCTTTTTAAAACTTCTTTTGTTGCCTTCTTCTTGTCGTACTTTTTTGTCGCTCTTTTTATAGTCTCTTTCTTTTTTTCGCTTTTTATTGTTTTTTAATCGTGTTTTTTGTGACCCATTTTTTGCCTATTTCCATTTTTTGTCGCTTATTTTGTCTTTTTTTCATTTTATTTACAGCACATTACATCGGAAGAACGTCACGTAGACATTTGTTTGATTTGAATGAGTTTATCGCCCCAAAACAGATGACTAAAATTATTCACTGAACAAAATATTCTGAAATTTATTATTATAATTCTTACCTTATCATTATTTTATTCTTATAAAGACTCAGTCATTAATTTTTTTCACACATCCCGTATAAGTAAATTTAAACAATATTTATGCAGTGATAAATCACAATTATAGACTCATCATACTTTGCACAATGCACATTTAAGATAGCATTTTTTCGGAAAAATTTTGGGGTGGCGTGATCAATTTTTTAGGGGGGATGAGCAAATATAATTTTTGAAATCTTTTGTACCCCTTTTGTTCATCTTTTTTGTCGCGTTTTTTGTCATCTTTTCGCCTTTTGTCGATTTTCATAATTTTTTGGTCGGTTATTGTCGTTTTTTCATCTTTGATGCATTTTTGTGGCCCTCTTTCGTCGTTCTTTTTGTCGTCTTTTCTGCTGTCTATATTTTGAGTTTTGTTGTTTTTTCGTAAATTCTGTCCTATTTTTTCGCAACTTTTTTAAATTCTTTTCTTTGCGTTTTTTCTGTCTAATT